TATAGTAATTTCTTGGCTGTTCTTGGCCCTTTATTTTTCTATGAATTTTAAGATCAACTTAACAAACATAAAGTATCCTATTTCATTGTATTTGGAATTACATTGAATTTTTAAAAATTGGGGCAAATTATATATTTATTTTTATTTTCCAAACATGAATAAAACATAGCTTCACAATTTACTTGTTTTAATGTCCTTTACTAATTTGACATTTGGTAATCATTCTATTTTTGTTAAGTTTTAAATATTTTAGAATTTTCATCACAGTCCATTTCTAACCTATTATTTATAGTATGTTTTTTAATCTCCAGATTTGAAAGGTTATTTGAGGGATCGTATTTTCAATGTTTATTTCTAATATTTTTGCATTGTGGCCAGAGTTGAGGTTTGAATGATATTAATTCTTTGGTATATTGAAACTTGCTTCCTTTCCTAATGTTGCATTAGTTTTTTAAATTAAATTTATTGGGTGACATTGGTTAATAAAATTATATAGGTTTCAAGTGTACAATTCAGTAATATGTCATATGTATATTGCATTGTGTGTTCACCACCCAAAGTCAAATCTCTTTCTTTCACCATATATTTTATCCCCTTTACTGTTATCTACCTCCCTCCCACCCGCCTTTCCTCTGGTAATCACCATACTGTTGTCTAAGTCTGTGAGTTTTGGTTTGTTTGTTTGTTTGTTTTGTTTGTTTGTTGCTTTCAGTTTTATATCCCACAGATGAGTGAAATCATATGGTTTTCAACTTTTTATGTCTGATTTATTTTGCTTAGAATGGTTATCTCAAGATCCATCCATATTGTCACAAATGGCAATATTTCATCTTTTTTTATGGCTGAGTAATGTTCCATTGTATGTATGTACCACATTTTCTTTATTCAGTCATCTATCAAAGGGCACTCTGGTCATTTCCGTGTCTTGGCCACCATAATAATGCTGCTATGAACTTCGGGGTGCATGTATCTTTATGGATAAATGTTTCGAATCTTTTGGGCAGATACCCAGAAAAGGGATTTCTGGGTCATGTGGTAATTCTATTCTTAATTTTTTGAGGAACCCTCATACTGTTTTCCATAGTGGCCTTACATTCCCACCAGCAGTGTATGAGGGTTCTTTTTTCCCCACAACATCTCCAACACTTGTTATTCCTTGTCCTGTTGATGATAGCCATTCTAACATTTCCCTAATAACTAGTGAAGTTGAGCATCTTTTCATACGTCTGTTGACCATTTGTATGCCTTCTTGGGAGAAGTGTATGTTCAGGTCTTCTGTTCATTTTTTAATTAGATTGTTTTTTGTTGTTGAGTTGTATGAGTTCTTTGTATATTTTGCAATAGTTTGTGTACGTGTGTTTATTACTTCACCTATTAGTTTGAGACAGATATATGAAATTCTCTCTTTTTTATTGTAGATTTGTCTTTTTCTTGTAATTCTGTCAATATTTACAGCATATGTATTGAAACTGTGTTGTAAAATGCATAAGGTTCAGGACTGTTTTTCTTTTTCTATAAATTCTCTGGTAATGCTTTTTGCTTCATGGTCTTTTTAACCTGATTTAATTAAAACAGTGGCTTTCTTTTGGTTGGTATTTGTGTAGTATACATTTTTCCATCACATTAATTTCCAACTTTCTGTGTCACATTTTAGGAATTTTTCTTGCAAATAGAACATAACTGATTTTTTTTAGCATTTTATTTTATTATTAGTGTCAAGTATAAAGTATATTGGTTAGATATTTATAGAGTTTATGAAACAATCCCCTGATAACTCATATAGTTAAATTTACTGCTGGAATAAAAGATCATTTTAGCATTAGAAAATATGTTAATAGAATTCTCCACAATATCAATTGATATCTTCTAACTGGTGCCTTTAATTATTTACATTTAATGTGAATATTTATGCTTCTGATTCTCTTATCCTCATTTGGTGTTTTTTTAAATCTATCTTTTTATAATTTTCTCTTGACAACTTTTAAGCCTTCTGTTGAATTGATGAAATCGTCTTTACTCTCTTAACAGATTTGGAAGCGCTGTATCTTATTTCTTTGTTTTTTTTTATGAGTACATTTGATTTTTTTTATGATGCTTGTTTAACTTAACACAGTCCCTTCTTAATATTTTTGCAATTCTTCCGAACAGTATAAACACTTAAAATATTTATCTCTGATTTTTGACTCATCAAAAATGAGTTATCTTCCACATTGTTGATGTTTAAAATTTTATTTTTACCTTATTTCAGTCCCCCAAATTATTGTTGCTGTTATTTTTTTAGAAAGCTAGTGATAATTTGGATTGATCCACATATTTACCAATTTGTTTACTATGCCTTTTTTTTTTTTTTTTTTAATTCCATGCCTTTTATTTGAGTACAGTTTCTTTATTTGCGGGGATCTTTGTGTGGTAAAATCTCTGTCTTTGGTCTAAACGTGTCATTATTTTTCTTTCTCTCTTGAAAGACAGTTTAATTTGGTGCAGAAGTCTAGGTTTTTAGTTATTTTTCATAAATAATTAGAAAATACAATTTTATTGACTTTGGGTGCTATTCATATGGATGACATTTCTACTCTATTTTGAAACATTTGACAAAATAGCTTGAACATGATATTAAAATGTACTGGAATTTTCTATTACTAGGAAAAGTTCGTTCTTCATTATTTTTAAATGACAGTAACTATTCTCGTATAAATAACATCATGACATTCTTGACTAACTTCCATGGTTCCCTATTGAGCACTAATTTTACCATTATAATTTGCTCAATATAAACATGCATATACATTTAGCTAGTATTGATTTTAGAAAATGATTTGCTTTGTTTTAAAAATTATTACAGATTTGTTAAATACTGATTTAAAAACACTTTTTATATGCCTTAAAATCTGAGATATAATAAAGTACCTGCCAATCATAACATTAATTCTAGACTGTATGACATACTCAAAAGAACAAACAATACTTTGAAATACTTTGAAATGTAAGTCTTTGGATTAGAGTCATAACATTTATATAGAATAATTCTTTTATCACTAGTACCAATAGTTTTCATTATGTTGACCAAGGTCTCATTCTCTTTTTAAAACCATCTTATACTTTTAGCATGTATGCTCAATTGAATCTTTATCAAAATGTTACTATTTATTTATGTTGTCTCATCTATAGTGTCTGACATTTATGGTCATTATTTCTCACATCC